CTTCCTTCCTTCCTTCCTTCCTTCCTTCCTTCCTTCCTTCCTTCCTTTTCCTTTCCATTCTAATTTTTCTTCCTTTCCCTTTTACCTTATTTTTTCTTCCTTATTCTCTTCTCATCTTCCCTTCTTTTTCTTTGTCTTTCCACTTTCCCTTTCTCCTTTCTCCTGTCCCTTCCTACATACTTTGTTTTTAGTTTGTTTTCATAGCCCTCTGCCAGTGAAAATGGAGTTTGGGGGAGGGGGCTAGATGGCCTTCTGCAACCCTCTGACAGCAAAAACAAAGCTTGGGGGAGGCTGTACACCCCCTGTGCCCCATTTTTGGCCTGGACAGCCTCCTGTAGCCCCCTGTCAGTGAAAATGATATTGCTGGCATAGGGCTGCAGGAGGCCATCCAGGCTGAAAACAGGATGCAGGGCGTGGGGTGCTCACAGCCCCCTTGAGCTCTGTTTTTGAGTAGAAGAGGCATCGCGGGCCGGTCCTTTGCTGTTTCCAGGCCGGCCACATGGGACAGATCTGGCCTGCGGGCCTTGAGTATGACACCCCTGCTTTATCTTGTTTTAGATCTCTTTCGTGAACATTGTTTATCAAGTGGGATACAATCTATGACTGTCTTGGTCTACCTGCCATTAGTTCTTGCTATGTGACCAGCCTGTTTCCATTTAAATTCTTTTACTCTCTTGATATCGTATACTTTCATTTGTTTTCTAATCAATGTGTGCATTTTACTATACTAAAAAGTCAGTCACCACTTTTTTCTTTCTCTTTGCACCTTTACTTTCTTAGTTTTAACTTTTATTTTTTGGGTATTTTTATTTGATAATTAAGTTTAATAAAAATAAATAAAAAGCTCAAAGATTTTTGTGCAATATCTACAGATCAGAGGTGGTATTCAACCAGTTCTCACCTAGTCGGGCGAACTGGTAGCGGTTATTTGGCATGGGTCACCGAACCAGTGGCGACCCCTGGCTGGCTACGCCCCCAACCCGGTCATCTGGTCGCTCACTTGTGATTGCTCTCTTAGCTTTCCGTTCCCCATGTCCTCTTTCTCCCTGGGGGAAAGGAAGAAAAGCATGGACGCTGCAAGTATCGCTTTCCCCTTGTGAGTTAAAGTGCTGGAGTGAGAAGTAGTGTGGTCTGACAGAGGGGGTGGGGGAATCCACTCCAGCCTTGGAGAAATTTAAAGGAGCTGCTTCCAAAATGCTTGTCTGTTAAGTGCTCTGTGTGTGTGTATGTGTGTGTGTGTGTATGAGTGGGGGGGGGGAGAAAGAAAGAAAAAAATAGGGAGAGAGAGAGAGATAAAACTCTGTGCTCTTATTTTTAATTGTTCCATTATTTATCATGTGTTAATATTTTACACTGTCCTAGAGTGTGTACACCTAGAGTGATTTTTCTGCCTTTCTTTTGCCCAGGGCTACCACATATTTTTTAGGGTTTATAGCATTCAATGTCAATAGTCCAGAGCATAAAATACACATGTGTTTAATAAGAGTTGAAAAGGTCCTTGGAGGTCTTCTAGTCCAACCCCCAGTTCAGGCAAGAAAACTGAGGATGCCAAACTCTGAGTAGAAATCCTGGGAAAGGTGTCAGAATGATACTTAGAAGGGACCTTGGGGTGAACCCTATACCATTTCAGAGAAATGGCTGTCCAGTCTTTTCTCAAAAACTTCCAGTGATTGAGCACCCAGAACTTTTGGAGACAGACAGTTAGTGGTTAATTGTTCTCACTGTCAGGAAGTTTCTCCTTAGTTTTAGGTTGCTTCTCTCTGTTCAGTTTCCATCCATTGCTTCTTGTTTGCCTTCTTGCGCTTTGGAAAATACATTGCCCCTCTTCTTTCTGGCAGCCCCTTAAAAACCTGTTGCCTATCACACTCTTGAGTAAAGCATGTGAGCCATTTCCTCCTTTCAGTGGTTCATGAAAGTACATCTATAGTATGCAGATAATAAAGTCAAAAAAGGTAAACAACATTTTTACAGAACTATAGATAAGTTGAGGCTGGGTGACAAGGAATGGCTGGGAGGGGAGGGGCCAGGCAAGGCACCCCTCGATATGAGTGACATTGAGTTGGCCATGCCCACCCAGTCACCTGACCACCAAGCAATGCCCACCCAATCACATGACCACTAAGCCACACCCATCCAGTGACATGAACACCAAGCTGCACCCACCAAATAAGCCATGCCCACAGAATCGGTAGTAAAAAAATTTGAATTCCACCATTGCTATAGAAACACTAAAACCTTATCTGGCTTTTACAAATGCCAGAGGATGTTAACTGAAGTTTGCAGAGCTAATTGAGGCAAGGCAAATTAGTAACTTCAGTTTGCTTTGAAAGCGGTGGTGAGGGTGTTGGCTTTTCAAAGCAGCATTGGTTGAATCCCTTGATTGCAGACAAGCAGCCTTCGAAAATTTACATAGTTCTGTTCCTTAAACTTTTAAATTTTATCCCAAAAATCGTCTTCAAATTCCCTGTAGTTTTCCTACCTGGAGGAGTGAGATTGTTTGCAATCTAGATCTTCTGGGCCAATTAAAGTTTTAAAAAAATATTATTATGCACTCTCACCATTTCAGCAGTAAGGTACTGCTGACTCAAGACTGTTATCAGAATTCTACACACATTTCAGAATCTGCCATAACATTGTGCCAAAAAATTTCATACATACAGTATATATAGATAAGTGCATATTTAAATTGGGAATTATGGTCTTAGATGGGAAAGGCATTGAGATACATATTTAAATGAGGAAACAGTCTCTTAGTGTGTGTGTATGCCTTCAAGTCAGTGTTTTTCTTACAGTTCTTGTAGTTTTTTTGGTAAGGATTTTCAGAAGTTGTTTGTGTTAAGTTCGGAAAGAAGGGAGGCCACACCAGAGCTTCAGTCATAACACACACTTTATTCATGGGAATAAAGGGGGCTGTCGCGTCTGCAGCTAACAGCAGACCTACCAGCGAACAGCGGCTGGCTCAACCTAGCAGCCGGCTTTTATAGCCGACTGTCGAAGGGAGCCAGCCAATGGGGACTAAGAACGCCCCCGTAAGAATTGCGGACCTGATGGGGAACTGGTGTCAGCCCCAAGGACATAACACCCCTTCCCCCCAGATACGAACATGAGTAGTCTTTAAGGTATGAAGGCGGTTTGTGTTGCCGCTCTGATCGTCTTAGTTCGGGTGTAGGAGCGGGTGGCACAGAGTTCGGGACAGCGGGGATTTGGTCCCTTGGTAGCTGTCCAGCCACCCGACCTTGCTCGCCGGTCGCCGGCCGGGTTGTCGAGTCGCTGCGGTCTCCTGGTGCGGTAGGGGAGCTGCTGGGAATGGATGTTGATTCTGTGGGATGGTCGTGGTCAGCCGTCTGTTCCCTCGGTTCGGTTGGTGGAGGCAGGTTACTCTGAGTGTCCCAGCTAGGTGCCGGATGCGGTGCCTGGAATGTTGCTGTGCTCTCTGGGTCGGTGGTGGCGTGCTCGTTCTGCCGGCTCCTCAACTGATCCAGGTGCCTTCGCCAAATGCGCCCGTCTTCTAACTGGACGTGGTACGACCTGGGCCCCGTGATGGCCACGATCCTGCCAGGTACCCACAATGGGTCTCCCGCGTAATTTCTGGTGAAGACTTGATCCTGTAAGACAAAACTCCTGACCCTACTGTTAGACCCAAGGGGTGTATCTGGGCAATAGTGAGGGTGCAGCCTGTCTAGTATTGTCCTTAAGCATCTGCCCATCAATAGCTCTGCCGGTGACTTGTTTGTGACCGTGCACGGGGTCGAGTGTTGGCTTATAAGGAATCTAGAGAGTCTGGAATGCCAGTCATCTTGGGAGAACCTGGCGAGGGCCTCTTTGGTTGTTCTGACTGCTCGTTCGGCCAACCCATTGCTCGAGGGGTGAAAGGGAGCCGTTAGGATGTGCCGGATGCCTAGGTTGGTGACATACCGGCTGAAGTCTGTGGACGTAAATTGAGGACCGTTATCTGACACAATGGTGTCTGGGAGACCGTGTGTGACGAACAAACGAGTCAGTGCTTGGGCGACTGCTCGTGTGGTGGTTGAGAGAAGGAGTGCCACATCGATCCATTTAGAAAATGAGTCTACTACTATTAGGAATGTTTTGCCATGGAATGGGCCGGCCAGGTCAACATGTAGACGGGACCATGGTGCGTTGGCGTTTTCCCATTTGGTGGGAGGGGTTACTGGGGGCGCTGGCCGGGATTCTTGACAGGGACGGCAGGAGCTTACCCATTTTGCAATTTCGTCGTCCATGCCCGGCCACCATACATAGCTCCGTGCCAACGCCTTCATTCGTACAATGCCGGGGTGCCCTTCGTGTAATGCCTTCAGGACGGGTCTGCGTAGTGACTCTGGAATGACAACTCTGGTCCCCCACAGCAGACAACCCTGTAAACTGGAAAGTTCCTGTTGGCGGACTTTAAAGGGTGAAAATTCGTTAGACGGGTTACTGCCCGGCCACCCCCTCCGTACCCAGTCCAGGACCTGGGCGATCAGTTTGTCCTTCCTGGATTGGAAGGCAATGTCTCTCGCAGTGATTGGAATTCTGAACTCACTGGTGTCAAAGATGGTGTGGACTGGGGCCGGATCCTCCACAGGCGTTGGTAGCGGGCACCGGCTGAGGGCGTCTGCATGGCTGAGATTCTTTCCTGGACGGTGCACTAACTTGTATGAATATGCTGCCAGGAATAAAGTCCATCTTGTCATTCGGGGAGACAAGACTTGTGGTGTTTGCTTTTCTCCGGAGAGAAGCCCCAACAATGGTTTGTGGTCCGTAACCAGTTCGAAGTTGTGCCCAAATAGAAATTCATGAAATTTTTTAACAGCTGCTATGGCAGCTAGGGCCTCTTTGTCGATTTGGCTATAGTTGCGTTCTGTCGTTGAAAATGTTCTAGAGAAGAACGCAATGGGGGCTTCGGACCCGTTGGGTAGTCTATGACTTAATACGGCCCCAATTCCGAAAGGCGAGGCATCTGCTGCCAAAACTAGCGGTAGGTTCTGGTTGAATTGGATCAGTACAGCGTCTGAAGTGAGGAGTGACTTGACTGCCTTGAAAGCGTATTCCTCTTTGGGTCCCCAGTGCCATGGAACATTTTTATCTAAGAGTCTATGTAGTGGTTCTGCCACTGATGCCTTGTGCGGCAGAAATGATGCATAGAAGTTCAGCAGGCCTAGGAAGGCTTGTAGTTCTGGTTTGGACGCCAGTGTGGGCGCTTCGTGAATGGCTTTAACCTTTGATTCTACCGGGTGGATGCCAGAGGTGTCTATTCGGTACCCGAGAAAGTCCACCTGCTTAGTGGCTATGGTGCATTTTTCTTTTTTTAGTTTGAGGCCATGCTGTCTGAATCTGTCCAACACCCCTCTAACTCTGAGGAAAAGCTGTGTTCTGTCCCGGGCGGAAACCAAGATGTCATCAAAGTACGGAACCACGCCAGGGAGGCCCTGTAGGATCCGTTCCATTAACGACTGGAATATGCCCGGGGCGACACTCACACCAAATTGGAGGCGCTTGCATCGGAAGGCCCCTCTATGGGTAACAATGGTTTGCAATTCGGCCATTTGGTTGTCTACAGGAAACTGTTGGTAAGCCTGAGACATATCCAATTTGGCGAATATCTTTCCGGGTTCGAATGTGTGCAGTAAATGCTGGATTACTGGCACTGGGTATGCGCTAGTCTGTAAATAGCGATTTATTGTGGTCTTGTAATCTGAACACATCCTTATACTACCATCTTTTTTGAGGGGTGTGACAATAGGTGTCTCCCACTTAGCAAAATCCGTGGGTTCGATGACCCCTTGTTTTAACAATTTGTCTAGTTCCGCATCCAGCTTAGAACGCAGAGCGAATGGCACTCTCCGCGGTTTCAAACGGATGGGAACTGCCTGGGGGTCCACTGAGAAAGAAATAGGTGTGCCCTTGTAGCACCCCAATTCATCGCTGAAAACGTCAGCGTAATCAGAGAATAGTGAGTCAGTGTCAGAGGACGAGACAGCATGAACCCCCGTTAAGTTAAGGCCAAGAGAGGGGAACCAATCCAACCCCAAAAGACTAGGAAGGGCACCATCAACTACCACTAATGGCAGGTGTCCTTTAAAGGTTCTGAATTTGACTAGGAACTTGCCTGTTCCGATTACTGGAATGTTCTTCCCTTGGTAGTCTCGTAAGGATAGGCGACTCTTCTGCAGCTGTTTCCTGGACAGGCTGGGACGTATCTTCTTGAGCGTGCTCCATGAAATAATCGAGAGCGCTGACCCGGTATCGACCTCCATTAGGCAGGGTTTACCTTCTAAATGAATGGAGAGTTTAATTTTATTGGGTGTTAAGAAGGTATGGTTAGTTTGATAGCATGTAAAACAGTTTTCTACTTGCCTGGATGGCCCCGAGGGGGCGTAAGATGGTGGCTTTTGTGGAGCCACATGCGCTGCCTGGCACACCCTAGCGATGTGTCCTCTTCTGCTGCAGTTGTTGCAGGTGGCACTTTTGAACCTGCACGTTGCTCTGGCATGGGGACCCCCACAGGAGAGGCACAGCGGGGTGTGCCTAGGTACGTTGCCTTCTCTCGGTCTAGTTCCTACCTGTGGCTGCTTGAATGGTTTGAGACGGTGCACTTCAGATTGCTCGATGGGCTCTTCTTCGTTCACTGCCTCCTCAGAATGTACAGTGACTGGATTACCTTTGGGGGTGCTTCCCTGTATTTCAGCCGCTGATTGTATTGCCAATTCTGCAGCCAGGGCTTCCTCGATGGCTTGTGCTAGATTGAGGTCCTTCCTTGCCAACAACCACCTCTGTAGTCTTGCATCCTTGACCCCGCAGACAAGTTGGTCCAGGAGCATGTCATCAAGGTAGCCTTTAAATTCACAGTGCAGGGCTGCGGTTCTGAGGGCTGCCATATATTGGTTTATGGTTTCTCCCTCCGCTTGCTTCCTCATGCGAAAGGCGAAGCGTCTCGCGATCTGTGACGGTTTTGGCGAATAATGATTGGAGAGGGTCTCCAGTAGCTCAGACCATGGGACATTCTTGAGTTCTCTTGGGGCGAACAGTGCTGTTGCCATGTCGAATATGGTGGCCCCGCAGTAGCTCAGGAAGAAAGACTTATTTTTGTTGTCTGTAGCGTCAGCCAAACCCACAGCATCAATATAATGGTTAAAACGGTTTTTATAAGAGTCCCATTTATCTTCGTCTGGTTTGAATGGCTGGAACGCCGGATTCGCATTCATGACTGGTTCAGCTTTCGGCAGGTAAAATGAGTCTCACTGGGAATACAGGCCCTGGAAAGGGTAGCAGCTACAGTTTGTAGTGCTGTTAACGAGTGTTCAGCTTCTGAGTTCTCTCTGGGTTGTACAGGTAGCAGCTGCGCTCGCAGTGCAATTCCGGTCTGGTGATTCAGCTCGTGGAATCTCTCTGGGTTTTCTCGCTCTCTGCAGCCCTTGGCGGCTGGAACAGACGCTATAACTGACGCCCGTTTAAATTTCGTGCCCTTACAAGGGCGAGGCGGTGATGCTGCAGCTGCGCGCTGACAGCGATTTAAATCTCGCGTCTGGATTTAGCGGTCGTGAGCGTCGCGCTGGAGCTTCGCTACACGCAATTCTGGCAAGTTTGTTGTTGGGCGGCTGAGGCTCTCAGTGCCCACTCTCTTGTAGCTAGTTTGTGATCTTGAGCGGCTACACGCTCCGCTTCAATTTCCGCTCAAATGGCTGACCGAGCTCTCAACGTCGCGGCTACGGTTCAGCGCTTCAGATTCGTGATTTTCAGCTCTTGTATAGCTGCTGGCTGGCCAGATCCCATCCTCGTCGCCAATGTTAAGTTCGGAAAGAAGGGAGGCCACACCAGAGCTTCAGTCATAACACACACTTTATTCATGGGAATAAAGGGGGCTGTTGCGTCTGCAGCTAACAGCAGACCTACCAGCGAACAGCGGCTGGCTCAACCTAGCAGCTGGCTTTTATAGCCGACTGTCGAAGGGAGCCAGCCAATGGGGACTAAGAACGCCCCCGTAAGAATTGCGGACCTGATGGGGAACTGGTGTCAGCCCCAAGGACATAACAGTTTGTCATTGCACCCTTTCTAAAGCTGATAAAGACTGATTGCCCTTAGATCACCCAGCTGCTTTGTGTCCAAAACAGAACACATGGTCTCTTGGTTTCTAGCTTCATGCCTTAACTACTACATCATCACTGGATCTCATAAAAAGCCTCTCAACCAGCAATCAATATTCAGATGGGCATAAATTAACTCCAAGACCAACAAACAATAAATAAACAATACCCCTGTCAAGGGACTAACAGTAAACTGCTCAACCAAAGTACCTCCAAGACAAGGGTCTTCAAACTTGGCAAGTTAAGGGTTGTGGACTTCAACTCCCAGAATTCCTGAGCTAACATGACTGGAGGAGGAATTCTGGGAGTTGAAGTCCACAACTCTTAAAGCTGTCAAGTTTGAAAACTCCTGCTCCAAGACCTTCCCACCAACACTGGAAGTTAACTCCTACAAAGAAAAACTTGATGTATTTAGCACTGCATGGAGAAAACTAGTTGGGGATATGATAGCACTAGTCAGTTATTTAAAAGGTGCCACACAGATGCCTATAACCTGTTCTCAGAGTCAGGAACCTGAATAATTTTCTCAAGTTACAGAAAGCCAGATTCCAGTGAAATGATAGGAAGGAAGGAATGAACATTTGACTATGAAATGAATGGGTGTTGAAGTTCACACATCTTAAAGTTGCCAAGCTTGAGAAACACTAGGATTTTCTTCACACAGACCTGCATTGAATTATAGCCTGTCCTCAATTGTCTTTCACAGCATTCAGAGTGTAGTAGGTCAGCAGTAGTTATACTTGGGGAACTGCTGGAAACATCAGAACCAGATGCAGAGGCCGCGGAGAAATGATGCTCATGAAGACCCCAGGGAGATAAAAGGTAGATTCCTGAACAAATGACATGTTTTGCTGGGCTTCTGGAGGAATAGTTGTTTTTTCTAAGTGAGCAATGTTGGTAAAGAGACATTCACTTAATGCCTCTGTATGCATTGCATTTTGAAATTCAGGGCTGCTCTTTCAATTGTCTTTTATTCTTTAGAAATACAGTATGACAGTGCTCAAGAGCTTTCATACTCTGAAAGGGCAATAGTGGCTTCAGCAAAAGAGTAGAGTGCAGCAAAAAAAAATCTAGGGTATATTTTTTTTAATGAAAGGATTTCCATTGAAATGTAGAACTAAGTATCTTATGTCCACTTTCTGCATTGGTCAGGTGTGCAGCTGCCTTCAGAAGAGGTAAGTACAGCCTCCATCAGGCAAAACATAATTTCTCCTTTGCAATTGAGGGACGGACTTTGCCTTGCCTGCCTTGTTTTGAGTTCTAGAAGTTAAATTATATTTTTTTAAATGAATGCACAAAGCCATTGTTGTAGAGCAATGGTAAGGAAGAGGCAAGAGCCAGAGCGTACAACGAACAAGGCTTTATTGCAGGGAATAAAGGGTTGTCGCGTCTGCTTGCTAACTAGCAGACTAGCTGGCGACAATAGAGCTGGCTCTGCTCGACAGCCGGCTTTTATAGCCGACTGTCAAACGGAGCCAGCCAATGGGAGCGGCTGGTGCTCCCGCTCAAACAGCGGACCTGGTTGGGAACTCCAACCAGTTCCAAAGACATAACACTCCTTTCCCCCAGCTGGGAACATGCGTAGTCCTGTAGGTAAGTAGGTTGTCTGCGCTGGCGACCAGAACGTCAGAACGTCGCAGCCCGGGTAAACTGTTGGCTGGTGTCAAGTCCAGGCCCTCGGGACGCGCCTCGACGGTTGTTGGGGCATGGGCTTGACCTGGCATAGTGTTCTGAGAGTTCGGCAATTCCCCCTGCTCGGGCTGACCTGGGCGAGTTGCTGGGTCCGGTTGGCAAACTGGCTCGCTCGGCTGTTGGTTCGGTGACTCTAGCCGGAAACTCGGGTCCTCCAGCACCTTCGTGAAGCACCTTCAGGATGGGTACACGAAGGGTGGCTGGAATGACTACTCTTGTACCCCACAATAGACATCCCTGTAGCTTCGACAGTTCCTGCTGACGGGTTTTAAAAGGAGCAAAGTCAACTGTACATTGAGTTCCGGCCACCCCCTTCCCACCCAGTCCAGAACCTGGGCAATTATCTTGTCTTTTTTTGAGTGCGCAGCAATGTCCTCGGCTGTCACTGGCAGTTTAAGTTCGTTGACCTCAAAAATGGCGTGAATCGGTGCTGGGTCTTTGACTGGGACTGGTAGGGGGCAGCGACTAAGGGCATCGGCGTGACTCAAGTTCTTGCCAGGTGGATGCACCAACTTGAATGAGTAAGCGGCCAGAAACAAAGTCCATCTGGTCATTCTGGGTGAAAGTACCTGCGGGGTTTGCTTATCTCCAGATAAGAGTCCCAGGAGAGGTTTATGGTCAGTTACAAGTTCGAAATGGTGCCCAAACAAAAATTCATAGAACTTTTTAACTGCAGCAACCGCAGCCAGGGCCTCTTTATCTATTTGACTGTAGTTCCTTTCTGCCGTAGAGAAGGTCCTAGAGAAGAAGGCAATTGGTGCCTCGGAGCCGTTGGGAAGTCTGTGGCTTAGGACAGCCCCAATCCCAAAAGGGGATGTGTCAGCAGCTAGGACCAGGGGAAGTCGTTGATCAAACTGAATTAAGACTGTGATGTGAGTAAGGATTTGACTGACTTGAAAGCATGGGCTTCTTTAGGTCCCCAATGCCAGGGTGAGTCTTTATCTAACAGTCTATGTAAGGGTTCAGCGACAGATGCTTTGTGCAGGAGAAATGAGGCGTAAAAGTTTAGTAGCCCCAGAAAAGCTTGGAGCTCTGTCTTGTTAGTTGGTGTGGGTGCCTCATGGATGGCTTTTACCTTGGACTCAATTGGGTGGATGCCAGAGGCGTCTATCCTATAACCCAGAAAGTCCACTTGCTTAGTGGCGATGGCACACTTCTCCCTTTTAAGTTTGAGGCCATGCTGCCTAAACTTCTCTAGAACCGCCCTGACCCTCTGTATGAGTTGAGGCCTGTCAATAGCTGAGACTAAGATGTCATTGAAATAAGGAACAACCCCTGGGAGACCTTGGAGAATCCTTTCCATGAGTGATTGGAATATACCCGGGGCCACACTTACACCGAATTGGAGGCGTTTACATTTGAATGCCCCTCTATGAGTGACTATGGTTTGTAATTCAGCTGTCTGATCATCAACAGGGATCTGTTGGTATGCCTGGGACATATCTAACTTGGCGAAAATGGTGCCGGGTTCGAAGGTGTGTAACAGGTGCTGAATAACAGGGACAGGGTATGCGCTGACCTGTAGGTAACGGTTGAGGGTGGTTTTGTAGTCTGCGCAGATTCTTAAACTGCCATCCTTCTTGAGTGGGGTGACTATGGGGGTCTCCCATTTGGCAAAATCAGTAGGTTCTAACACCCCTTGCTTAAGTAGCTTATCTAATTCTGCGTCCAATTTGGGACGGATGGCGAAAGGCACCCTGCGTGGCTTTAGGTGAAGAGGGATTGCCTGGGGGTCTACAGAGAAAGAGATGGGGGTGCCAGAATAGCAACCCAGCTCGCTGCTAAACACATCAGAATAATCTGAAAATAATGCATCTACGTCAGAAGTTGAGACAGCATGGATCCCAGTTACACTAAGACCGAGGGAGGAAAACCAATCTAGCCCCAACAGGCTGGGGAGGGCACCATTAACAACCACTAAAGGCAAATGGCCTTTAAAGGCTTGGAATTGAACGAAAAACTTGCCTTTCCCAAGGACAGGGATGTTCTTGCCCTGGAAGTCCCGCAATGTCAGGTGGCATCTTTGTAGCTGCTTCTTTGACAGTCTGGGCTGGATCTTCTTCAGGGTTTCCCAGGAGATGATTGAGAGTGCAGATCCTGTGTCTACCTCCATCCTGCAGGATTTACCTTCTAGGAAAACAGAAATTTTGATTTTATCAGGGGTTTGGGAAGTATGGTTAGCCTGGTAGCAGGTATAGCAGTCCTCCACTTGCCTTTGGGAATTAGAAGGTGGTGGAGGTCTTTGAGGCAAAGTGCGCCCTGCTTGGCAGACTCTAGCGAGGTGACCCTTCTTTTGGCAATTCAGGCAGATGGCATTTCTAAACCTGCAGGATGCCCTAGAGTGGGAGCCTCCGCAGGTTAGGCAAATTGGAGGTTGTTTGGGGGCGAAGTTGTTTCTCTGTCCCGCTCCTACCTGTGAAGGCTTCTGATGCTTAAGGCGGTTAATGTCTGATGAGTCTGTGGGGTCTTCTTCACTGAGCACTTCTTCTGAATGGATGGTGGAACTGCTGGGCTTTAATGGAGTGCCTTGAATCTCAGCTGCTGATTGGGCAGAGAGCTCAGCAGCTAGGGCTTCCTCCATGGCTAGGGATAGATTCAAGTCCTTTTTTGCCAGCAAACGTCTTTGGAGTCTCAGGTCTCTAACCCCACAGACGATCTGGTCCAACAACATGTCTTCTAAGTAGTCTTTGAACCCGCACTGCAAGGCAGCTGTCCTCAGGGCTGCCATATACTCGTTGATTGACTCCCCCACTGCCTGTTTTCTAATTCTGAAGGCGTACCTCTTGGCTATCTGGGATGGTTTAGGCGAGTAGTGGTTGGAGAGGATTTCTTGTAGTTCATCCCATGGGACGCTTCTGATAGCGCGTGGGGCGACTAACGCTGTAGCGGTGTCAAAAACTGCAGCCCCACAATAGCTGAGGAAATAGGACTTCTTCCTATGTTCAGCAGCGTCAGCTAACCCGATGGCATTGAGGAAATGGCTGAAACGATTTTTGTAGGAGTCCCACGTTTCCTCGTTTGGCTTGAATGGTGGGAATGCTGGATTAGCATTCATTGTGAAAATGCAGGGTTCGTCTTCTTCAGTCGTCTTTTGAACTTGCGCTCTTAAAAGAGCGCAGGCTGTGACTGTCTCTCTAGGCTACGGAGCTCTTTTTGAAATTCGCGCTCTTTGTGAGCGCCGGCGGTTGCGGCTACAGCGCCCGTGGCTGGCTTCAGTGAGTACAGCTCAAAGCAATGGCGGTTTTTGAATTTCGCGCTCTTTGTGAGCGTTGGCGGCTGCGGCTTCAGCGCTTGTGGCTTCGCTCTCAGTGACTACAGCTCTTTGAAGCAAACGCGTCTGGCTAGCCTTCGACCGTATCCCACCTTCGTCGCCAGTGTTGTAGAGCGATGGTAAGGAAGAGGCAAGAGCCAGAGCGTACAACGAACAAGGCTTTATTGCAGGGAATAAAGGGTTGTCGCGTCTGCTTGCTAACTAGCAGACTAGCTGGCGACAACAGAGCTGGCTCTGCTCGACAGCCGGCTTTTATAGCCGACTGTCAAACGGAGCCAGCCAATGGGAGCGGCTGGTGCTCCTGCTCAAACAGCGGACCTGGTTGGGAACTCCAACCAGTTCCAAAGACATAACAGCCATATTTGGAAAGCTGTTTCTATTCTTTGCTAGCAGTTTGCCAACATATAATTCTCTTAGGACCAATTGCAATTACAGATAGTCCCAAGGGTGGGATGCTACCGTTTCTGCCTGGCTCTATAGAACCAGTAGCTCCGAAGAGCAGCAGACACCAAGCTGATTCTGTGTTTGCTGATGTTTGACCCACCTTCCTGCGGCACAGCTGAGGTTGAAAAAGCAAGAAAAAAGTGGCTTTGCAAACGCTGCGCACCCATGTGCAGCTCTCTTCAGCTGTCCGGGCGGCACAGCTTAAGGGTGTTTTACACGTGCGTGTAGTGTGCATCAGGCATGCACGAAGCATGCATGCATGCACAAAACATAATCACCAAACCGGTAGTAACACCGGTTGAATCCCACCCCTGGATAGTCCTCAACCATTGTGCCTAAGACTTCCACCACTAAGCAATGCAGCCATCAAATCAGTCACACCTGATTTTAGAACCTTTTTTGCTGCAGTAGTTAAACAAATCATATGTCCTTAAGCCAATCAAGCTTCCCCCATTGACTTTACTTTTTGGAAGCCCACTGGGAAGGTTGTAAATGGTAATAGCAATAGTGCTTAGACTTATGTGCTGCTTCATAATATACAGCACGCTCTCAGTGGTTTACAGAGTCAGCATATTGCCCCCAACCATCTGGGTCCTCATTTTACACACCTCAGAAGGATGGAAGGCTGAGTCAACCTTGAGCCTGATGAGATTTGAACTGCCAAATTGCAGGTAGCCGGCAGCCAGCAGAAATAGCCTGTAGTGCTGCACTCTAACCACTGTGCTACCATGACTCAGATTCTGAAACACTGCAACCATCGTAAATAAATGCTAGTGCCTGAATTTTGATGGTTTGACTGCAAGAAAGGGATGCTGCAAAGGTCATAAATGCAAGGACCAGTTGTAAGTCATTTTTTTTCAATAATATTGTAACTTAGAGCAGTCGTTAAATGAATAGTTGTAAGTCAATAAGTACCTGTATTAATAGCTTGGCAGAAGCTTCATTTGAGTAAATTTGTGCCTCTTGAGTTTTGATTATTTGCAGAGAGAGGGGGGAGGGAGGGAGAGAGAGAGGGAGGGAGGGAGGCTTTTCTAGATGTAGAAAAGAAATAGCGGCTTTCTGTTTATGTACATAGATTAAACCTGTCCACTTTTTGTAGGTTTTTCAGGCTGCATATAAATGAAGCTTAATTAAAATAGGAAATGTGGGCATGCACAGGAACATTTTTCCCAGACACTCTGATTGATCTGTCTGCTTGCAAAGTCTATTGAACAGTTAGAATGAAGTTTACAAAAATAAATCTGTACACACAGCTCTCCATGATGGGGGTACCATGCTGACTGAAAATTAGGAGTTACTGATAGGGTTCTATCTCTTGAGATAGGTGGATGAATTCATTCTGATGTGCTGTCATTAAATCCATTAATGATCCATTAGATGGTTCTATGAAGATGCATATTGCAAATAAATGGGAAGTTGAAATATGCTGGTTCTATATCACAATATAACTTACCTATATGTGCTTTATCATGTTTGTGAATTATACATGTAGTCCTTGACTTATGACAATTGAGCCCAAAATTTCTACTGCTAAGTAAGGCATTTGTTAAATGAGCTTTCCCCCATTGTGTGGCCTGTCATAAATATGAACTGAATCTGAAAGATCTGAATTTTGATCTGATGATGAAGGAGATGCTGCAATGGTGTAAGTGTGAAAAATGATCATAAGTCACTTATTTCAGTGCTGTTATAACTTTGAACAGTCACTGACTGAACAGTTGTAAGTTAAGGACCACCTTTATTTAAAACTTACTTATGACTTAATATATGGCATGCATTATATAAAGTAAATAATGGCTTGAAATAGTATTTAAAACTTGACATATGGCATCTTTAATACATTGAACGAAGGTCATGAAGGAAGAAACATCTGAACTAGCATCTTCATAATAGTATGATTCAAGCATTCAGCTATATTAGTTTGCTTGATTTTCTGCATTTATATTGAAGGAGAAAAAAATCCCCATAACACACAATCTCATAACATTTGATAATATTGTGAGATTTGGGTATTTTTCCCCATCAGAGGAGATAATTGTTACTTGCCATTCAGTATATATTCAGGGTTAGTTTTAATACATTAGAATAATAATATTTTGCACATTTCTATGTAAGCACTTTTTAGAATCTCTTTGCATCTTAATGGGTTATAGTTTGTAGACACTGTTAGATACAAAAGCAACTGATATCTAAAGGAGATTTTGTAGTTTCTCCCAGGGATGAAATGGTCAGAGACATAACTCATATTCTCATGTAGATGAGAAGATCAGAACCTTAATTATATGAGAGACAATGCAGTGCTGTCTTCAGAGAGCTGGAACATCTGGTTGCAATAAAGCTTAAACTTCTCAAAGCTCACTTGCATTTCATTAAAGAATTGTAAACAAGCTGATTTTCTTTTCACACCATGGAAGTTAAAAGATTTACAGGAAAAAGCATAAAAATGCTTTTACGTTCATAAAGATCCAGAATCTGTCCAAATGTTAAAGAAGTTAATGTGGCAGAGTCATTTGTTCTCTTCTGGAACTCTTGTATGATTAAAGAAACATAAATAGGAGCATTTTTTCTGTAATACTATGAAAGGGGATAATAAATATGATGGTTTTGCCAAAATATGAACATATCCTGAATTTTGGTATCATTCTCGACATACTGTATATAATATTTATAGTATCTCCATTGTAAGTACTTCAGTGCCAGAAGTTTCTTCTCCTCTTATTTAAATATGCTGGTTTCTACTACTTTAGCATCTATTTCCAAACAGTGGCTTGACCTGCACTGTTTACAGGTAGTTTTCAACTTATGACAACAGTTGGGCTCAAAATTTTTCTTGCTAAGAAAGTCAGTTATGCTAGTTTTAAGTTAGTGACCTTCCTTGCCACAGTTGTTAAATGAATCACTGCAGTTGTTAAGCTATTAACACCGTGATTAAGTGAATCTGGCTTCCCCATTGACTTTGCTTTGTCACAAAAGATGATCAGTTGACCCTGGGATCAGACCAAATGTTTAAATTGTCCTGGTTGAAATTATAATAGAAAGAATACTTATTCAGATATAAAAAGAGAAGACAATTCTTCCTTTGAACATACAAACATTACACATGCTTACATTTCTGGATGTTAATTTAAGCAGTAAAGAGTAGTATCAGAATAAAAGTCAATCTGATATGATTTCATTACATTTAATTATAATCAAATATAGTGAATAAGATTAAGATTAAGGCTGGCAAGATGCTGCAGGAGGCGTCTGTCCCATCTCCCCCCCCCCCCCCCCCCCCCCCCCTGCTGGCCCATGGAGAAGAACTACAATGCTGATCCGGCCCTGGAAGAAATCCAGTTTGACACTTTTGTATACTGTGTTTCTATATATTCAAATATATATAGTTATAGTCTTTCTAGGAGAAGAAAGCTGTTCTGATTTTTAAGTCTCCAGGAAAACATATTATGGGAGGCTAAGTCAATGATATGTTTAATCTAGAGGGCTACATTTGCCAACTTTTTTTTATCACTCTCCCTTCCTTCTGCTGAGATTTATTTATTGAATAGCGTTTGTACACTGTTCCAGAGAGAAACTCTCACATATAGGTCACCAGACGTGAATGTTAGAGGCCCTAATACTGTAAAGCTGTCATTTCTGCTTTGGCATAGGGAATGTCAAGGAAAAGGTTTTTTTTAAAAAAAAAATTATTAAAGTTTTAAACAAAAAGATAAAAACAAACACAAGCTAATACAAACTAAAGAAGAAAGAGAAATAAAAGAAAAAAACAAAAAGTGCATAAAATGAAATTTGAAGAAGAACAGAAAAGAAAGGAAAAAAAGATACAGTGGTATCTCAGTACTCAGCATTAATTTGTTCTGGGAAGTGTGACTGGTAAAAAGGATGAGTCCCAAATAAACCATGTGCCAATCCTTTGTTTTGGCCAGGAAGAACTTTGTTTATAGTTTAAAAGCTTTAATATA